GAGTCCTGTGGCAAAAACATTTGGTCATTAAATCATTGGAAGCATCAAGGTGGTTTAGGAAAGATGCACAAGGATAAATCCAGCTGTAAACCGACCTGATCCAGGTGGAAGCCTGAAGGTCGGTCGCATCTGTTGCACTCTGTGCCTGCGATGTTGCCATACCTGCATCGAACTCTGTCACCATCAGGATCGAAGGATGCCAGCTTGTAAGTGCGAGGGCAGTTCTGAGGAACTCTTTTTTTCCCCCCAGAAAAGCGAAATGAGTTAGAAACAATCAAACCTTCTACACAAGAAAGAGAAGTTCATGAGTTCAGACAGGGTAGCACCTCAGGAAGGGAAGGATGGCGATGTCCGGGGACCTGTTTGGCTCTCCGGTGTCCGACCTCACTCCTAAATCCACCAGAGTGTTCAGCCTCCAGTTCCCAACACCATTACGAGTCGAGATCCAACAACAGCTGGATGCCCTGTTAGGATGACAGGTGAGGCCTCATAAGACTTCAGGAAGTGTGATGGAAATCAACAAATGGACGACCAATTTGTTCACTTCTCTCTGGGGATTTTCAACCAGTAAATCTTTTTTGAAGGTTCTTTTCTTCTCTCCTTCACAGTCCGAGTCCTCTCATACTTTCGCTATTATTGTTCTGTGTTGAGGACTGCTCGGTACATTATTTGAATACTATTTGATGGGAGACAAAGCTTCCCTGAACAGCTGTGAGGCTCAGAGGCATCACACCCTCTGCTCAGGGAGGGTATGAAATGTACTATGGTTTAGTTTTAGAGCATCTTGGTGCCCCTATGAAGCACTTGTATCATTTTGCTGGTCGCTCTCACCTCATGAAGTTTTCCATTTTAATAGATTTCTATTTCTTACTTCCCCAGACAGATTGAGACTCCTGCTTAAAAGCTCTCACCGATCCTCTGCAAACAGCCTCCAGAAGAAAAACTTACCTCATCTCAAACGGCTTGTTGGTGTAGAGGCGCCTTGTCTGAACCGTTTCAGTTTCACACCACTGGCCCTCGTAAATGGGTGCATTGGTGCTCCGGTCAATAACATTCCAGTTACTGCTGGAGGTGGGAGAGCCGCAGTTTCCACTGGAACAGTACCAGTAAAGGGAGTACCCACACCCGTCATAGGTGTTCCGGTTTCGAATGGCCAGCTGTTAAAGTGATGATGCACAGACAATAAACTATAAGTAGCTTCTAACTGGTTAAAGACAGTAAACTATAAGTAGCACGAAGAATTAGGGAGGACGGATAATGACATTCCTCAGACTCAATGACATCAGATCCCTCCAATTAAATTCAGCGTACATTTAAAAAAAACAAGTCCGAAAAAATCCTGTAAGAAAAACCTAGTTCTTTATTTTTTCACCTTTATATAACAATGGCATGTGCTTTACCGCTTTGCATTCAACACTAATCCATGTAAATTGTCTTTACAAATTAAACAAATTTCAAATTTGTAAAACATTTACATGAAACGTGAAAAGTTGCCAATAAATGTAATATCTGCAGATATATAAAAACCATTAAAGTCTTTCTTAAATGAGCAGGAGTGAGAAAAGGGATCATAAGATTGCAGTGAATATTAGAAAAGGATGAGAGTTGCTTGCAATGTTGGATGTTTAAACATTCTGTCAACAAACATGGTAACCTACAGTATTTCATTTGTAAGAAATCTTAAAGCATATGCTGTTTATTCGATTGGACATGTGGAAAAATTCTTGAATAAACACATTTTTGACTAAAAAAACAAACAAAAAAGAAAAAACCTCTATTTTTTCCTTTAGGAAATAAAATCAAGTTAAGAAATAAATATTATTTTTAAAAAGTCCCGACTAAAATGATCATGATTCATGCAAGAAAGGGTTAAAGTAAATCACAGACAAAAAAAAGTTAAATGATGAGTCTTACGTTGAAGGAGCCGTCGGGGTTTCGGCCTTTGTAGGAGAAGCTCGTGGTCCCCCCGTAGTAATGGGACGCCATGGCCAGCGAGGCCAGCAGGAGCAGCTGGAGCGGGAGCAGTGCTGATGGGGCCATGCCGAAGCTCAGGTTCACCTCTGCCGCCCGGGTGATGCTCACATCCACCTGAGCATCTTTTATACACCTGCCCAGGGAAGGAGGGAGCACCTGAGCAGAGTTTATTGGTATGCATGCAATGTTCCAAACAATGAGGCAGCTGCAGGACTGGTTTGAGTTAACCAGCAGGTTGGAAGGGGATTTACTGTAAACGCCTTCTGTGATTTTTTCGGAAAAGACAACTTAAGCCGGAGGAGAGATGAAACTCAGACTGCGTGACAGCGCTTTTATTCCACAGTCACACAATAAATCCGAGCCCAGTTCTTTCATTTCACTGCAAATCAGATGCTCCAGACTGGCTCTCCTTACACTGGAAGTCCACTTTGTGTTGTTTCTGCTCCCTTTTTGCAGGTTTCCTTCCGTAGAAATTAGGTTATATGCTGTTTGGTGGAACGTTGCATTGGCTGGTGATTTGTTTGGATG